CAAATGAAAAAAACTCAGTATGAAATACATAGAGTTTAATAATAAATAATACATTCAGTATAAACAGGAAAAGAAAACAAAAAAGAAGTGGGTCTCCACCCCCAACGACCCATCCCACCCCAAACCCACCCAGCCAACATGTCTCCACCCACAACGTCCCATCCCCCCGCCCCAACCCCACCCAGCCAACATGTCTCCACCCCCAAAATCCCATCCCCCAACCCCACCCAGCCAACATGTCTCCACCCCCAACGTCCCCCCGCCCCCAACCCCACCCAGCCAACATGTCTACACCCCCAACGTCCCCCCGCCCCCAACCCCACCCAGCCAAACATGTCTCCACCCTCAACGTCCCATCCCCCAACCCCACCCAGCCAACATGTTTCCACCCCCAACCTCCCCCCCAACCCCACCCAGCCAACATGTCTCCACCCCCAACCTCCCCCCCAACCCCACCCAGCCAACATGTCTCCACCCCCCAACCTCCCCCCCAACCCCACCCAGCCAACATGTCTCCACCCCCAACCTCCCCCCCAACCCCACCCAGCCAACATGTCTCCACCCCCAACCTCCCATCCCACCCCAAACCCACCCAGCCAACATGTCTCCACCCCCAACCTCCCATCCCACCCCAACCCCACCCAGCCAACATATCTCCACCCCCAACCTCCCCCCCAACCCCACCCAGCCAACATGTCTCCACCCCCAACCTCCCCCCCAACCCCACCCAGCCAACATGTCTCCACCCCCAACCTCCCATAATAGTAACTGTATCCACTAAGGAATTGGAAGAGAGTGAGGTGATTGCCATCTAAGAGCCAACATATTTTTTTCTGCGGCAGATTGCCTGCCAGCAGTAATCGTCTCTGATTGATTGAGATATTCAAGGAGCTATCATCGTTAAGTAAATAATAGTAACTGTAAGTCGCTCTGGATAAGAGCGTCTGCTAAATGACTAAAATGTCAATGTAAAGCATTGAATATTTTTATTCATGAACTTTAAAATATATACAGTACCAGTCAAAAGTTTGGACACACCTACTCACTCAGACATCAAAACTATGAAGTAACACATATGGAATCATGTAGTAACCCAAAAAGTGTTAAACAAATCTAAATATATTTTATATTTGAGATTCTTCAAAGTAGCCACCCTTTGCCATGACAACATCTTTGTACACTCTTATTCTTCAATGTAAAAAATAGTAAAAAATAAAGGAAAACCTTTGAATGAGTAGGTGTGTCCAAACTTTTGACTGGTAGTGTATTTTTACTTTGCCCCAAAAGCATTTGACTGCAGGGCACTCCTATATCATATGGAGGTATGTGCCTACCGGATTTAGGGGACACAGTGAACAGTTGGGAATTGGGGCCAATCTCATTGTAAAACGTTTCCTTGGTGTTAAATACAGTCCGTGAACAAACTTAAAAGTTGATGTTTCGGATTATGGGATGCCAAGGTAATATTTTTCCATTCTGTTCAAGTTAAAGGATTGTTCAGATTAAATTAGATCTGTGGACCATACTTTTTCAATGGCTAGCTCAGAATATGAGCTTTCCGAAAGTTGTTTATATATTATAGAGATCAGCCCAGATAATTTATTTATAAATCCCATCATTGGATGGTTTGGTAGTTGGGTTTCCGAAGGGACTCCATAGGCCAGCATAGATTACCTAAATTGTAAATATAGAAAAAAAGATTTGCTTGGTAATGTGTATGTGTCTTTCAGATCTTGGAATGTTCTCAAACCATCACTGCCCATGAATATTGGCAAGGGTACGGATTCCACATTTGGACCATTGAGGGGATGCAAAAGGCCGCCCTCCAGATCACAAGGCGCTATTGTGAAATATTGGAGTATGGGCATGTCATTTTGATTCCCAGTTACATTGTTTTGAAATGTTGTGCCAAATAGAAATTGTGTGTGCAAAAATAGGACCAACGTGTAGTTTACATTGTTTAAGGGATATATCAGTGAAGACCACCTCTTCCAGGGCAATATGAGATGCCATATTTCTCTCTATACTCAGCCAGTGGTGAAAGAATCATGTCTAAACCAATTTAGGATGGGACGAAATGCTAGTACCTGGAAATACAATTTAAAGTTTGGTACGGATAGTCCTCCTACGTCTTTCCCCCTTTGGAAATGTGTAAATTTTATCCGGGCTCACTTACATCGCCATACAGTTGAAGTCGGAAGTTTACATACACCTTAGCCAAATACATTTAAACTCAGTTTTTCACAATTCCTGACATTTAATCCTAGTAAAAATTCCCTGTCTTAGGTCAGGTAGGATCACCACTTTATTTTAACAATGTGAAATGTCAGAATAATTGTAGAGAGAATGATTTATTTCAGCTTTTCTTTCTTTCATCACATTCCCAGTGGGTCAGAAGTTTACATACACTCAATTAGTATTTGGTAGCATTGCCTTTAAATTGTTTAACTTGGGTCAAACGTTTCGGGCAGCCTTCCACAAGCTTCCCACAAGAAGTTGGGTGAATTTTGGCCCATTCCTCCTGACAGAGCTGGTGTAACTGAGTCAGGTTTGTAGGCCTCCTTGCTCGCACACACTTTTTCAGTTCTGCCCACAAATGTTCTATAGGATTGAGGTCAGTGTCACGCCCTGACTCTGAGGACTCTTATTTGTTGATTCAGGGTGTGATTTTCCTTGTTGTGTATGTTCCTATGTGTTATTTTCTAGGTTTGGATCTAGTATGTATAGATCTATGTTGGCCTGTGTGGTTCCCAATCAGAGGCAGCTGTTGCTCGTTGTCTCTGATTGGGGACCATACTTAGGCAGCCTATTGGCACTAGTGGGTTGTGGGATCTTGTTCCGTGTTAAGGTATGTTGTGTTTGTCTACCTTGGACTTCACATATCGTTTGTTTATTGTTTTGTCGTTGTGTTTATTCGTTAATAAACATGAATGCATATCACGCTGCGCCTTGGTCCTTCTCGTTCGTCAACGATCGTGACAGTCAGGACTTTGTGATGGCCACTCCAATACCTTAACTTTGTTGTCCTTAAGCCATTTTGCCACAACTTTGGAAGTATGCTTGGGGTCGTTGTCCATTTGGAAGACGCATTTGCGACCAAGCTTTAACTTCCGGACTGATGTCTTGAGATGTTGCTTCAATATATCCACATCATTTTCCTTCCTCATGATGCCATCTATTTTTTTACGTGCACCAGTCTCTCCTGCAGCAAAGCACCCCCACAGCATGATGCTGCCACTCCCGTGCTTCACGGTTGGGATGGTGTTCTTCGGCTTGCAAGTGCCCCCTTTTTCCTCCAAACATAATGATGGTCATTATGGCCAAACAGTTCTATTTTTGTTTCATCAGACCAGAGGACATTTCTCCAAAAAGTAGAAATGAATTAATTCAATTCAGTTTCAAATTGTTCACAGAAAGTAGGATTTTGTCGTAAGGCAACACTAATGCACCATTTTGTGGCTCTTTTAGGAGAGCAACAGATTAATCAGTTAGAAGACATGCCTGTGTCTGGTCCTCTCATTGGCCTTTAACCCTGCGGCCAATACTGGCTCCATTGTACACACAACCCCCCACTCCTTCGTTAAGACAATCAGCTTTAATCAAGCTGCTTTAATTGATTTAATTAACTCTTCCTCTGAGCGAGGACATCCCCTCCATACACAAATGTGCAGAAAAACAAACCCAGACAACTGGTTATTTATAGCTTTAGAGCCAATTTGATAGTTGATAGTTGATAGTTATTTCAATAATAACACAACTATAAAACCCCCACAGCCACTTGTCTGGACCCTACACCCAAATTCAAATCCACTTGGTCTAACTCCTGTGGACTGATCAACAGTACTAGTGCACCTGGAGTTGGAGATTCCAGTCAGACATCTGACACTTCTGAATCATAAAAACTCAAAGACGTAATTCAGCGATATAAAAAAAAAAAAAACTTTTACTGTTGAAAAGCGATATCCCAACTATAAACACAGTAAAGGACACTAAAGGACACAACTGAAAACTTCATGGAATCCGTGATGTCATCAGCCTCCTCCTTGCTTGAAGAACAGCCCCCCCCCCCCCCCCCCCCCCCCCCCCCCCCCCCACCATGTCATGACTTACCTGGACCACCTGTTGAGATGTGCCTTTTGTTAAGGAAATCAGGTTATAAATTAGAAGACTGGAGTAGGACTATAAACTCACAGCAATATGCACAGATAGTTGTATTGTTCATCAATCATCAGAGCACAGTACAGATTATAGCCAATAAAGCCTGTGATGATAACTGAGCCAGTGGTGATGGAAGTCAGATGCTGTTCCTTTACTGAGCTCCTTCAACTGTCGACAAACAGGGTCTGAGTCCCAAATGCCACCCTTTTCCCTATATAAGTGCACTACTTTTGACCAGAGCTCTATGGGCCCTGGTCAAAAGTAATGCACTATATAGGGAATAGGGTGCAATTTGGGATGGAACCCAGGAACATCTGGGTCTGCTCTGGATAAGGCTGGAGGACTCAGAATAATCGAACACACTAACCCATGTAAACTATTGCAGATGTGACATAATTGCAGAGAGCTGGTTCTCTCAAAATAAACTTAATTTGGGGCAGTTGCACATTTTGCATTCTGCAGTAGACCTACTCGACAAGGAGGCTGGTGGCCATCAAGAAGTCTGATCCTTTTCCTTTAGGTCCCGTGTAGCTCAGTGGGTAGAGCATGGCGCTTGCAACACCAGGGTTGTGGGTTCGATTCCAACGGGAGAGGGGCCAGTATGAAAAAAAATGGTATGCGCTCACTAACTGTAAGTCGCTCTGGATAAGAGCGTCTGCTAAAATGTAATCTCAGAGGATGACAATGACTAGCAACAGATAAATACACTATACAGTCGAGGGAGAACATCGAGACTTGGTCAATAACTGCCATCTATTCAAAGAGGTATAAAGCTTACTGTGGCCTGGAGCCTTGCTGTTCTAAGGTCATGGAATGAATTATGCACAAGAAGAAGAACACACATGTTCAGCAACATTAAAACAGAGAGGAGACAGCAGAACCTGGCAAGGGTATGCTAAAAAAGTATTCTCTATAATTGTAAATAATTGGTTGCTCTACAGAAACAGAGATGCCAAGTAATACCAGGCTACATGGTTGGATATTCTAACTAATTGGCTCTTTAAAAAGGGTAAGGCATTTTTTAAGGTCCTAAAATTGGCCTTTTCTCCTCCAGAGTGATTTCTGAGTGCCAGAGCTAATTAGACCGTGGGTGATTGTTTAGGAACCCAAAACACGCTAAGGCAAAATAGCCAACGTGCAGGGAGAGAAGGATGCCAAGGGAAGCTTGACTACGCTGTCCTAGCTAGGGAAGCTTGACTATGCTGTCCTAGCTAAGGTGGCGAGAACAGGAGTAAAGGGGAAGCTTGACTATGCTGTCCTAGCTAAGGTGGCGAGAATAGGAGTAAAGGGGAAGCTTGACTATGCTGTCCTAGCTAAGGTGGCGAGAACAGGAGTAAAGGGGAAGCTTGACTACGCTGTCCTAGCTAAGGTGGCGAGAACAGGAGTAAAGAAAGGAAGTGATTTATAACTACGTTCAGACGATCCACTATGGCCCTTTTGAGACATGCAGTCCAATGCTTTAACCTGTACAAGGTACTTACCATTAGTTACGTAAAGATGCTAACACTTTACTATAGTCATTCAAATACTTTAAAAGAGTTTAACATCTTAGCATCATGAACAAGACTTCATAACATGACATTTGAAAATGTTAATAACATCATTAACAAGCTCTGTTGGAGTCCAAGGCTCATCTTGGGTTTTTTGTTTGTATCTTGAGGTATAGTGTTTATAGTGCTTGGCTGAATGCAGTAACTATTTAACGCTGTAGGCTTTAACTCTTCCCTGATCCCTGACCTCTAACCTCATCACACAGCATGAGCCCAGCGCTCCCGTTTCCATTGTTGACCTAATTATCTACGTTATTATTCACAGCTTGTTGTAATTTTATGGAGGAAGTTGTTATCGATTTCACCCCATACAAATTTTCCACACTAAGTTTCTCACAGACGCCTAAGGGTGTCAATGTATTTAATCCCTCGCATTGACAACATGCGGGCAGAACTTCAGAAATTGATTCCCTTTCTTTTTTTAAACCCCCCCCCTCCCTCCTCGCTCCAAACCCTCAACCACCAAATTGTCCTCTGTGTTCTGTGCTGAGTGAAGACCCTCTCACATTAATCGTCTAGAGCTCTTCTGAGTGCCTTGCATCACCCAGTTGCAGCTGTGTGGGGAGTTCCAGATTTTGCCGTGCGCTGACTGGCTGCTGTAACTTTGTCTGCGTCCAAAATGGCAACCTATTCCCTATATAGTGCACTACTTTTGTCCAGGGCCCGTAGGGTGCACTGCATACTGTAGGGAGCAATGTGCCATTTTGGATGCAAACTTTGAGCTGTGGAAACATGGGGAGAGAGTGGGCTGGGCGGATGTCCTAGTTGCCTCATTTTCCCTGCTAACGGAGCATGATCCAACTGTCGTCAATTTATCAACGTAACGTGCGCTAGTGGGCACAGTTTGAGCCTCCATTAGGACAGGTGCTGCCATCCATCATGGCACAGTCACTTATTCCACCTTGTCAGGAGAAACTAAATAGGGCTTTAGAAGAAATGTAAACAAGTCTCAGCAGACAATCCGAGTGGTGCACCATCTCCCCAGCTCTGGAACTCAGAGAAGGTAGAGAACGTAGAGAAGGTAGAGAAGGTAGAGAAGGTAGAGAAGGTAGAGAAGGTAGAGAAGGTAGAGAAGGTAGAGCAGGTAGAGAAGGTAGAGAAGGTAGAGAAGGTAGAGAAGGTAGAGAAAGGTAGAGAAGGTAGAGAAGTAGAGGTAGAGAAGGTAGAGAGGTAGAGAAGGTAGAGAAGGTAGAGAGGTAGAAGGTAGAGAAGGTAGAGAAGGTAGAGTAGAGAAGGTAGAGCAGGTAGAGAAGGTAGAGAAGGTAGAGAAGGTTGAGAAGGTAGAGAAGGTAGAGAAGGTAGAGAAGGTAGAGAAGGTAGAGAAGGTAGAGAAGGTAGAGAAGGTAGAGAAGGTAGAGAAGGTAGAGAAGGTAGAGAAGGTAGAGAAGTAGAGAAGTAGAGAAGGTAGAGAAGGTAGAGAAGGTAGAGAAGGTAGAGAAGGTAGAGAAGGTAGAGAAGGTAGAGGAGGTAGAGGAGGTAGAGAAGGTAGAGAGAGCTGTCTACCATCTAGACACCTTTTCACCAGACAATTGCATTATCCCACTCCACTGTCGTTCTCGCCTGCGTTCTGAACGATGCATCCTTGCATTCTTTGCCTCTTTGCATTTTTGGGATTCAAGGAAAACGTTCAAATCTGTTAGTGGACAGGGGTAAACTAAAAAGGGAAGCATTGTTGAGTGGACAGTAGAATGTACAGTACTTAATCTATACAGTAGAATGCACAGTACTTAATCTATACAGTAGAATGCACAGTACTTAATCTATACAGTAGAATGCACAGTACTTAATCTATAGAGTAGCATGTACAGTACTTAATCTATACAGTAGAATGTACAGGACTTAATCTATACAGTAGAACGTACAGTACTTAATCTATACAGTAGAATGTACAGTACTTAATCTATACAGTAGAATGTACAGTGTGATGAATGGGTTAATTCATATTGTTACTTGTGCACATTCGCTAGAGCATGAGGCGGTTGGGAACATGGCTACTTAGCATTTATGTTATTAAATATGGTTACACATTGGAAAGAACCTACCGATTTAAAAGTATCTTGTATTTAACTATAACCAAGGCCATTACATACAGTACTTAATCTATACAGTAGAATGTACAGTACTTAATCTATACAGTAGTATAATGAATAAGTCTAATGAATATCTTTACACCCATTAGAAATAGGTTTCACCATTCAAGTCTTTTATGAAGGTCTGTTTCACAATGACTTGTGTAGTGCAATTCCATCATTATAATCAAAGGTCAAATAGGGGGTGCTTTATATTTGTCCTGTTTAAATAGATTTTAATTGAACCAGAAAAAAAAAGAAAGAAAAAAAGTTGGAGAATCACACAAGATGTCATTGAATCCTAACAGGATGGATGGTGAGATGGCAGCCATCGCAAACATAAAGACAGAGGATGTGTCCCAAGGGACACCCTATTCCCTGTATAGTGCACTACTTTTGACCAGACGCCTGTGGGTAGTAGTACACTAGTAATGCATTTTGTATACATCTGGCCCTTCATTGGACACTGTGTTAACAAACCTCCAAACGAGCTTCAATGCCATACAACAATCCTTCAGTAGCCTTCAACTGCTCTTAAACACTAGTAAAACTAAATGCATGCTTTTCAATCGAACGCTGCTAGCACCCGCCCACCCGACTAGAATCACCACTCTCGACGGGTCTGACCTAGAGTATGTGGACAACTACAAATATCTAGGTGTCTGGTTAGACTGTAAACTCAACTTCCAGACTCACATAAAGAATCTCCAATCCAAAGTTAAATCTAGAATCGGCTTCCTATTTCGCAACAAAGCCTCCTTCACTCATGCTGCCAAACATGCCCTCGTAAAACTGACTATCCTACCGATCCTTGACTTCGGCGATGTCATTTACAAAATAGCCTCCAACACTCTACTCAGCAAATTGGATGTAGTCTATCACAGTGCCATCCGTTTTGTCTCCAAAGCCCCATACACTACCCACCACTGTGACCTGTACGCTCTTGTTGGCTGGTCCTCACTACATGTTCGTCGTCAAACCCACTGGCTCCAAGCCATCTATAAATCACTGCTAGGCAAATCCCCGCCTTATCTTAGCTCATTGGTCACCATAGCAGCACCCACCCGTAGTCTGCGCTCCAGCAGGTATATCTCACTGGTCATTCCCAAAGCCAACACCTCCTTTGGCCGCCATTCCTTCCAGTTCTCTGCTGCCAATGACTGGAACGGATTGCAAAAATCTCTGAAGCTGGAGACTCTTATCTCCCTCAATAACTTTAAGCATCAGTTGTCAGAGCACCTTACCGATCACTGCACCTGTACACAGCCCATCTGAAATTAGCACACCCAACTACCTCATCCCTATATTGTTATTTATTTTGCTCTTTTGCACCCCAGTATCTCTATTTGCACATCATCTCTTGCACATCTAGCATTCCAGTGTTAATACTATTGTAATTATTCTGCACTATAGCCTATTTATTGCCTTACCTCCATAACTTGCTACATTTGCACACACTGTATATATATTTTCTGTTGTATTTCTGACTTTATGTTTTTTTTTTTACCCCATATGTAACTCTGTGTTGTTGTTTTTAATCGCACTACTTTGCTTTATCTTGGCCAGGTCGCAGTTGTAAATGAGAACCTGTTCTCAACTGGCTTACCTGGTTAAATAAAGGTGAAATAAAATAAAAAATTAAAAAATAGGGTGCCATTTGGGACACACACAGGGTTACTGAGATAAATTAAATGTTTTTTTCTCTTCCTATATCAATGATATAAATTGAGGCTCTTTGAACATGAGAAATGCACGGCCATTCCGCCTGCTAATTTAGCATAGCCCAGTACACTAACTGTGTTCATTCAAACACCAACAGAGAGAGGGGGAAAGTCTTCTCTAGCGGCTAGGGGAGAACCCTGAGATAATGATGATCTGGACATCATCTCACATACTCTGAGTCAGCGGCGAGTCTACACGCTCCAGTGTCACTGACTGCGCTAATTAGTTGTTTTCAAGCTTTCAGGCCACAAAAGGAGGTGGAGATTATGTAGTCTTGCCATGTGACACGCCAGATTCATTATGAACCCTCTCCGTGCCTCCACCTTCCCTAATCTCATTCCTGTATGCTCATACAGGCCTCCATTGGAAGTCTGACGCATCAACTCTGCGTTACTTTGTCTCATTAATCGATGCACAATAATGGTAGATGAGGATCGTGGAAAGTTGGGTCTGTTTGTGACAACCTGTCTGTCTTTAGATTAAAAAGCACTGGCAAGGAAAACAGGGATCAGTGCACAGATTAACCAAATGTTCCTCTCATGCTGCCTCACTGGGCATTAGCAACACATTATTATCAATGTGTTTTCATTGATGTATTCAGCATGGATTAATTGGCAACAGGTGCGGCAAAGATTGCTATTTGAGAGCTGGATGTTTTTTGTTTTTTTTAAGCCACACACATAAAGGCGTAATGAATTAATGGGTTTGCCCCCATTAATAATTTTCCTCCAGTAGGTGCTGTGCTCGGCCCGCCACAGCTGCATAAACAGAGATGTTGTCCCCCTGCTAAGGCTTTCAGAGAGCTTCAAAGAGCCGTCCTCTATTTCAATCCATTTACACAGTGGATCAGCCGTTATCAGGACACCCGCAATAACAGCACTCTGAAGTTAATAATCAAGTAACCAAGGGTAGGCAAAGATCAAAAGATCTTCCATCTTGTGTCATTAATGAGGGTTTGTGCTATAATCCATGAGCCACTTTTGTTAAAGATATGACCTAAGCAATTGGCTTGGATGGACAGACAGAAGACAGAAGAAGGGGACCTAGCACCGAGCCCTGGGGAGCACCGTATGAGGCTGCGTGGCGAGGACCTCTAGAGAGAGCTAATAGAGATCTGAATAGATCCAGCATTTACATGTTTGATCAGTCAACACAAACAGCAACTATGGTTTTGAGCCTCAGTTGTGTTACAACATGTATGTTGTATGTTGTATGTTGTATGCATTGCGCTTGGAACCATAAAGTCATTATGTTATTGAATTTGCCGACTGAAACTCTAAAGTGCTAAATCTATCTGGGAAAAAAAACAACAACATATTTTTGTCCCTCACAAAAAAATTAAAACTTTAAAGAATAATATCAACATCTTGCTGTTATCCGGATCCATTTCATCTTCTCATTTAGATAATGTGGTATGAAGTGAACTCCATTCAATATGAAAGTAATTATCTATTCTATTCAAACAAAGTGTTTTAAACCTTTGGTCATGCTAATCACATGTCCTTTTATTCACGATGAAGATTCTAGTTTGCTCTCTGTTTCCTTCCTTTCGTATTTGATGCTTATTATCTAATTTTCCTTTCGAGGTCCTTGATTACCCCACAGCCTGTCCTTGATTACCCCTCAGTCTGCAAATGGACAATAATTGCTGCCCAGCTGCTTACAAAGGTCTGTGGAGGAGAGAAAAAATAATCATTTTCATTGGTTGATCAACAAAAAGGGTAAATTAATGTTGTTTGTCTTTGCTTCCTCTGGTTCTGTTCATGAAACAGACAGCTCTCTGTAGAATGACACACCTTGTACTTTCCCCATTACAAGTCAATCTCCTGTGCTTTATTCTCAAACATAATATGGACAACAAGCAGAAAATTGAATTAAAAAAGGGAGCGAGAGCTTTGAACACAGATGCCTGGAGGATTCTTGCCACTTTGATGTAGATCTTTCAGCCCGATGAAAGACGAGTCCATTTGGCCTGGGGCCGTGTTCAAATTGACACACTTTAATCATACTCTCTCTCGCTCCCTACTAGGTGTGTGCAAAGTGAAGTCCCCCTCCACGCTTTATAATTTTCTAGCATTATCGTATGAGACTACATGTCTCCTAAGTTACTGCGACAAAACGGTGTGAAGTGATTTCCCGCTCTAAAAAGCGGATTTAATTATCACACCGACACACCCTCCCCTCCTCCCCCTCTGGAGAAGGTGAGGGTGGGTAAGGAGCCTGTGGAGATAGGTGGTTGGTTGTGCCTGTGAGGCAGGGGGAGGTGGGGAGAAAGGGATAAGGAGAAAAGCCGTAGCAGTTGTTGTTTTAATACTATAATAAACCCTGAGATGGCAGCATCAGATTGCCATCAGCTGGATGAATCGGAAAGATTAATGACAGCCATTTTGTTATGAGAGAAGGGGGAGATGAGGTGGGTGGGGAGGAGAGGGGGCCGGTGGGGAGGAGAGGGGGGCGTTGAGGTGGGGTGGGGAGGGTTAGAGGAGGTGCGTCTATCCAGAACAGATGAGATTGACCTCACCTCAGAAAGTACTATCTGTTTGGTAAAATGTGGGTCATGGTCCTTGTTTAGGTAAAACAATATGGTGGATATACAATATTATAAGGGAGTGCTGTTGTCGATCAACTGACTGTCCTCTGTTTTGAATCAGTCAGAAATATCCAACACATATCATGGAATGGGGTGCTAAAATGAGTGGAGGAGGTATTGTCACAATGAACCTTGGGGCACTAAGGATTATATTATTTTATCTATTTGTCATTGTGCACCGACATATTGGGACGGCAGGTAGCTTAGTGGTTAAGAGCGTTGTGCCAGTAACCGAAAGGTCGCTGGTTCTAATCCCCGAGCCGACTAGGTGAAAAATCTGTCAATGTGCCCTTGAGCAAGGCACTTAACCCTAATTGCTCATGTAAGTCGCTCTGGATAAGAGCGTCTGCTAAATGTCGTAAATATTTATCAGCATGGATCATTCTTTTACAAATGGAAGATAGGACAGTTATGTAAATATGCACAAACACCTGCAGTAAAACACACGTTGCTTAATCATTTGCTTGAACGCTGACCTCCACGTAGGACTATTTGTCATGAACCTTTCTCACACAATAGTGTGTCTTCAGACTGGCAGATGTACGTATGTAACGCACCGTAAGCCATACAGTCCCATCATCCTTATTACCATGGTAACTCTGTCACCTAACCAGTGTGACCAGTAATACAGGTTTTTTTTCTATTATTGTATGGAGATAGAGGGAAATAGAAGACAAATAGGATTTTTTGGGGGAAACATCCCTTTCTGAATACAAAGGGCTGGCCCCCGCGCTATCACAAAGAAAACAGCTTAGCAGTGGGGGCATTTGTTTTCCATTCAGAGGGAGAAGCACTTTGTCTTTCCAATCGTTACCTGTTTGAGAATCAGTTGCTCATTTAAGGTTAGGCCTAAAGAGGGAGGTGCTGTCTGGGGCTAAATTGCAATTAGTGGACCTGCGAGTGAGGCCGATACCAGTTAACTTGGGATATTGGAGTGCAAGAGCCCTAGTAATCAGCCTTTGGTCATGTAGAACAATGCATAAAATTAAATTGACATTAATGAATAATTGTGTAATGAAAATGGAAGAGGCGAGTTAATTACATGTTACGGTGAGTGTAATGCCCAGATAACCTTGTGTCTAATGCTATTCTTAGTCTGGCTGCCAAGCCTCTACTCTATCCTCTCCTCTCCTGTCACAGAGCCCCCCCCCCCCCCTCTCTCTCCTCTACTCTCTCTTTTCACAGAAGTCTCTCTCTCTCTCTCTCCTCCCCTATCACAGAAGTCTCTCTCTCTCTCTCTCCTCCCCTATCACAGAAGCCTCTCTCTCTCTCTCTTTCTCCGCTCGGCGGGAAGTCATTAGAGCCAGAGTAGATAATGCCGCGGTGATGCCGGCCAAACCCAGAGTGGCTACAATCTAGCAGAGACTTTCTTTCAGGTGCCTTTTTCTCCTGAGTGGGGCATGTTGAAGTCATTTGTACACAGCCTGAATGGAATTAAAGGTCACAAACGCTAAGTGGCATGGATGGGCTCTCCTCTCCTCTCCTGTCCTCTCCTCTCTTCTCCTCTCACACCCAGCCAGACCCACTTACCTAAAAGGGACTGTCATGGGGACATTCTACAGTGACTTACCTAAAGGGACTGTCATGGGGACATTCTACAGTGACTTACCTAAAGGGACTGTCATGGGGACATTCTACAGTGACTTACCTAAAGGGACTGTCATGGGGACATTCTACAGTGACTTACCTAAAGGGACTGTCATGGGGACATTCTACAGTGACTGTCATGGGGACATTCTACAGTGACTGTCATGGGGACATTCTACAGTGACTTACCTAAAGGGACCGTCATGGGGACATTCTACAGTGACTGTAGACTAAATGGACATTCATGGGGGCAGATCAACCCAACCAGGTTCACTCAGCTAGAGAACTGTCATGAGGACTAAAGGGACTCTCATGGGGACTGAAGGGACATGGGGACTAACCCACAACAGTCTAAGCCCTGTTTAAGCCGGGGGAGGGGGGGGGGGGGGTCTACAAAACGATATGGAATTGTTTTAAGAAGATCATACCAAGGATAATTTTGCTATTTGATTTTGAATTTCAAGAACCCTTGAAGTATCAAAAAATATATTAAAATGTTTTTTTATGACAAATGTTTTTGGGCCTTCGTGCTATAACCCACACAAACACATTGAATACCGGTTCACTAAATGGAACAGATAGTCCCCCAAAAAATCTAAAGGAAGTTTGTTCTGAAGTGTCTGTCCTATATCTGAGAGACACTGTATAAGAATGATCAGGAAATATTTATTCATTTTACATGTCTTTAACCACTTATTTTTTGGCACTAACCAGTCTCTATGTATGCTTCCATACATTTTTTTCAACTGGTACCGGGGGACCTTCAGACAAGTCTTGTGAGGCCTGTGGTTATCCTAGAGCAAAACAACATGTACAGTGAGGGAAAAAAAGTATTTGATCCCCTGCTGATTTTGTACGTTTGCCAACTGACAAAGAAATTATCAGTCTATAATTTTAATGGTAGGTTTATTTGAACAGAATAGCAACAAAACAATCCAGAGAAACGCATGTACAAAATGTTATAAATTGATTTGCATTTTAATGAGGGAAATAAGTATTTGACCCCTCTGCAAAACATGACTTAGTACTTGGTGGCAAAACCCTTGTTGGCAATCACAGAGGTCAGACGTTTCTTGTAGTTGGCCACCAGGTTTGCACACATCTCAGGAGGGATGTTGTCCCACTCCTCTTTGCAGATCTTCTCCAAGTCATTAAGGTTTTGAGGCTGACGTTTGGCAACTCGAACCTTCAGCTCCCTCCACAGATTTTCTATGGGATTAAGGTCTGGAGACTGGCTAGGCCACTCCAGGACCTTAATGTGCTTCTTCTTGAGCCACTCCTTTGTTGCCTTGGCCGTGTGTTTTGGGTCATTGTCATGCTGGAATACCCATCCACAACCCATTTTCAATGCCCTGGCTGAGGGAAGGAGGTTCTCACCCAAGATTTGACGGTACATGGCCCCGTCCATCGTCCCTTTGATGCGATGAAGTTGTCCTGTCCCCTTAGCAGAAAAACACCCCCAAAGCATAATGTTTCCACCTCCATGTTTGACGGTGAGGATGGTGTTCTTGGGATCATAGGCAGCATTCCTCCTCCTCCAAACTCGGCGAGTTGAGTTGATGCCAAAGAGCTCAATTTTGGTCTCATCTGACCACAACACTTTCACCCAGTTCTCCTCTGAATCATTAAGATGTTCATTGGCAAACTTCAGACAGGCCTTCATATGTGCTTTCTTGAGCAGGGGGACCTTGCGGGCGCTGCAGGATTTCAGTCCTTCATGGCGTAGTGTGTTACCAATTGTTTTTTTGGTGACTATGGTCCCAGCTGCCTTGAGATCATTGACAAGATCCTCCCGTGTAGTTCTGGGCTGATTCCTCACCGTTCTCATGATCATTGCAACTCCACGAGGTGAGATCTTGCATGGAGCCTAAGGCCGAGGGAGATTGACAGTTATTTTGTGTTTCTTCCATTTGCGAATAATCGCACCAACTGTTGTCACCTTCTCACCAAGCTGCTTGGCGATGGTCTTGTAGCCCATTCCAGCCTTGTGTAGGTCTACAATCTTGTCCCTGACATCCTTGGAGAGCTCTTTGGTCTTGGCCATGGTGGAGAGTTTGGAATCTGATTGATTGATTGCTTCTGTGGACAGGTGTCTTTTATACAGGTAACAAACTGAGATTAGGAGCACTCCCTTTAAGAGTGTGCTCCTAATCTCAGCCCATTACCTGTATAAAAGACACCTGGGAGCCAGAAATCTTTCTGATTGAGAGGGGGTCAAATACTTATTTCCCTCATTAAAATGCAAATCAATTGCTAACATTTTTTACATGCGTTTTTCTGGATTTTGTTGTTGTTATTCTGTCTCTCACTGTTCAAATAAACCTACCATTAATATTATAGACTGATCATTTCTTTGTCAGTGGGCAAACTTACAAAATCAGCAGGGGATCAAATACTTTTTTCCCTCACTGTACGTGAGGGGTCATATTAGTGTGTAGGCTAAACCGTTCGGACGCTACAGACAGAAGTTGGCAGATCGTCTGTATCGACTTCAGACGAGTCCCAAGACGCCTGTGGGGGTCGTAGAGCAAAACGGAGAACACCATCGTGTTCGTGAGAGTCTCATGGGGACCAAAGGGACTAACATGGGGACTAAAGTGACTATCATGGTGACAAACAAGATTAACTGTCATGGAGACTAAAGGGACTATCATGGGGACTAAAAGGACTATCATGGGGACAAACAAAATGGACTGTCATGGGGACAGATCCACCACTTGTGCTTCTTAGGGACTAAGGACAGATACATCAGCCAGGCAAAGGGTTCACAACCATCTAAAAAAAAAACATACCAAAAGTTACATTCTAAAATGACCATTATTAAAGCATAATAGTGATGGTGGCCATAGGCTTGGGCGGTGTTCCGTAGATACCGTATACTGGGGTATTTAGAAAAAGCCACTGCATATTTCAATACCGTCAATACCATAAACTATTTATTTCAAGTTTTTCCATTTCCATTTTACATTTTAGTCATTTAGCAGACGCTCTTATCCAGAGCGACTTACAGTTAGTGAGTGCATACATTATTTTATTTTTCATACTGGCCCCCCATGGGAAATGAACCCACAACCCTGGCGTTGCAAACGCCATGCTCTACATCCCTGCCGGCCATTCCCTCCCCTACCCTGGACGACGCTGGGCCAATTATGCGCCGCCCCATGGGTCTCCCGGTCTCGGCCGGCTACGACAGAGCCTGGATTCGAACCAGGATCTCTAGTGGCACAGCTAGCACTGCGATGCAGTGCCTTAGACCACTTCGCCATAAATTGGAATATTTGTAGATACTTTTTAAGTTAATACCTGCAGTCAACTTGTGCAATATGTTAGGAGATAAAGCAGATTGTGTTATTAATTTCACTTGTCACATTATTTAACATTATGAAGTTTACCGTACTTCCCCAGAACGGTTGAGCCAGTCACGTGTTTGTTTGTAAATAGCACAACGGGAGAAAGCTGGAGCTGGTGAGTCCAAAGTGTTCTATATCTATCAGTGAGTCTCTGCTGGTGAGTCCATGGCGTTCTATATCTATCAGTGAGTCTCTGCTGGTGAGTCCAAAGTGTTCTATATCTATCAGTGAGTCTCTGCTGGTGAGTCCAAAGTGTTCTATATCTATCAGTGAGTCTCTGTTGTGCGGCGCACATGAGGTAATGAAGTTCCACTTGTTCCACATCAAAGATATCTTATAATGGCTTTCTGTCAGAAGTCAAAGAGCTCTGGATGAGTTATCTGTACAGTTGTCATTTTTTCCTTGTGCTTCCTACTAGAATTTAGTTTCTCCTCCGTTCGTCTCCCCTCTGCTCTGTGTTCACATGCTGCTATTCTTTCAAAAAAGCATCCATCACAACTTTGTTAATTTGCACAATTTATCTCGTTCACTTTCTCTTGTAAATGTCCACGCTCACCGAAAATGACATTCATGGTATAACTTTATGAGCTAGATTTGTCTGTCTTTTATTTAATTAGTCTATATTCGTTTTCGCTCATTAGCATTTAGCTAACAGAGAGTCTGTGATTTCGCTATTAGTTTGTGCTAATGTTGTTAGCATTTTGGTAATAGAGGCCCAATGGGGTTTTCTTGCATTTTAGCGCCCCCTTGTGTGCTATGCCGGTAATATCTTAAATCCCGGGATGAGAGAACTACGATATGAACATCTGGATACCACCCAAACCTAGATGACCAACACTTATACCCTCTCTGAGAGGGCTTGTTGTCAGACCAGGGAACTAATCACCATCCATAGTGAGAGGGCTTGTTATCAGCATAGGGAAAATAATCACCGTCCATAGTGCTTCTCTTGACTCTTGCTTTCTCACAAAAATGAAAGGTCTTGGCCCTGGCACTATTGGGAACATTAACGAGAACAAATTAGTTTGGTGGAAGGTGGCGTTTGTAGGTGAAACCCTTGGCTCGTCCTTTTAGTAATTACGCAGACAAATGCCCTGCCTTCACACCTCAAACACCTGCACAGACTTTTAAACCTGCAGAGTTTGCTCATTTCTTTTCCCCTTGTGTTTTTTGGGTCAATTGCAGGCTCTAACGTCCATAGGGGAATGACCTCTCGTTGATTACAAAGTAAAGCATTTTAGGTGTCAGTGGTTAGATTGATCATTCTCTGGCCTAATAGTATGTTTACCGTAGAACACACACAACAGGATTAGAAATCACTAAAGTTGGCTGGGTGGTTAAACTCATAGAAATACAATCCATGCATTCTATTTCTACGGTCATATCACAGATTTATTAGTAGTAGGTCCACACACACACACAAAAAAAAAGATTTTCAAAGTTATTTTATGCTTTTTTATTCATTGAGGTAGCAAGAGAAAAATACACAACTTTTTGGCTGTTAGGCCATGGTCAGTGTGTAACTATGGTTATACCACAGACTCTGGACTGGTGTCCAGCCCTCCGATCCTCAAAGGTCTACTCTCTGGACTAGTGTCCAGCCCTCCGATCCTCAAAGGTCTACTCTCTGGACTAGTGTCCAGCCCTCCGATCCTCAAAGGTCTACTCTCTGGACTAGTGTCCAGCCCTCCGATCCTCAAAGGTCTACTCTCTGGACTAGTGTCCAGCCCTCCGATCCTCAAAGGTCTACTCTCTGGACTAGTGTCCAGCCCTCCGATCCTCAAAGGTCTACTCTCTGGACTAGTGTCCAGCCCTCCGATCCTCAAAGGTCTACTCTCTGGACTAGTGTCCAGCCCTCCGATCCTCAAAGGTCTACTCTCTGGACTAGTGTCCAGCCCTCCGATCCTCAAAGGTCTACTCTCTGGACTAGTGTCCAGCCCTCCGATCCTCAAAGGTCAACTCTCTGGACTAGTGTCCAGCCCTCCGATCCTCAAAGGTCTACTCTCTGGACTAGTGTCCAGCCCTCCGATCCTCAAAGGTCTACTCTCTGGACTAGTGTCCAGCCCTCCGATCCTCAAAGGTCTACTCTCTGGAATAGTGTCCAGCCCTCCGATCCTCAAAGGTCTACTCTCTGGACTAGTGTCCAGCCCTCCGATCCTCAAAGGTCTACTCTCTGGACTAGTGTCCAGCCCTCCGATCCTCAAAGGTCTACTCTCTGGACTAGTGTCCAGCCCTCCGATCCTCAAAGGTCTACTCTCTGGACTTGTGTCCAGCCCTCCGATCCTCAAAGGTCTACTCTCTGGACTAGTGTCCAGCCCTCCGATCCTCAAAAGTCTACTCTCTGGTCTAAATCATCATATTAAATGTATTTATAAAGCCCTTTTTACATCAGCAGATGTCACAAAGTACTTATACAGAAACCCAGCCTAAAACCCCAAACAGCAAGCAATGCAGATGTAGAAGCACATTTTGTTAGCATTTTGGTAATAGAGGCCTAATGGGGTTTTCTTGCTATTGTAGCGCCCCCTTGTGTGCTATGCTGGTAATAACATAAATCCCTGGATGAGAGAACTACGATATGACGATAGGAACATCTGGATACCACCCAAACCTAGATCATCAACACTTACACCCTCTCTGAGAGGGCTTGTTGTCAGAACAGGGATAATAATCACAGTCCATAGTTCTTCTCTTGACTCTTGCTTTCTCACCAAATGAAAGGCCTTGGCCCTGGCACTATTGGGAACATTAACGAGATTAGTTTAATTAGTTTGATGGAAGGTAGCGTTTGTATGTGAAACCCTTGGCTCGCCCTTTTAGCAATTACGCAGACAAACGAATCGTGCCCTGACTTCACACTTCAAACACCTGCACAGACTTTTAAACGTGCAGAGTTGTGTCTAGCCCTCAGATCCTCAAAGGTCTACTCTCTGGTCTAGTGTCCAGCCCTCCAATCCTCAAAGGTCTACAGCTGCACCATCGAGAGCATCTTGACTGGCTGCATCACCGCTTGCTATGGCAATTGCAAGGCGTTACAGGGGATAGTGCGTACAGCCCAGTACATCACTGGGGCCGAGCTCCCTGCCATTCAGGACCTCTATACCAGGCAGTGTCAGAGGAATGCCCTAAACATTTTCAAAGACTCCAGCCACCAAAGTCATAGACTGTTCTCTCTGGAACCAACAGGACCCTGAACATCTTCTACCCTCAAGTCATAAGACTGCAAAATAAAACTAGAAGTGAACGCGCTATTAGCATTAGCAAATCCAAAAACAAGCTCGGAACACATGCTGAACACATGCTGATGTCATAATGAAGGGCCAAGCCATACTCCAAGTCGATATTCCCTTCAACCACGCCCATAAATTGTGGAAAACAAACATTCTTTCCAATTGACCCCCATTGTAAAAGAGCCAACCTTGTCATAGATTTTTTGTTACACCGAAATAACAAAACATGCCGAAAAGCTGCTCTGTTGTTCAATGTAAATGTAACCAATTCAAAGATCCCGACCTACGGTTCACAATGCTCCCACTTAGGGAAATAGAGGCTGTGAGAAGAGGCTATTCGATGTGGGAGAGTGGGAAATGTGGGAACGCGGTGTCCAAGTAGGCTACACATAGCTACTGTATGTGTGTGGAAAACATTTAATCACAGGTAAGACATTTAACTTGTTTAGGATAGTACGTTTGTAACTCCACTCACTACTTGTTTAGTATAGTACGTTTGTAACTACACTCACTACTTGCAGCTGTACTTTTCTTAAGTGTTGTTTTGTACTTGATTAAAACAAGCAGACAACAAGAAAATGCAGTTTGAAAAAGGTTACATTTTTTTGCTGTGAGCCAATGGAGTAACCTAGGTAACCACAGGTTGTTTCCCCCAAAGGCCATGCAGGCCCAGGTGCATCTTTTGAAAAAAAAAAACAAGGGGGTTGAAATGGAATACCCTAAAGATAGTACAACAACCAAAGCAAATAAGCTATTCAAAGAAAAGACCCTGAGGGACAACCCAGAGACCCTTTTCATTGATTTCAGTGGACCTGAAGCGAGGAGAGTGAGCTCTTCTTCGCCCCACACCCTACAGCCTAGCACTCTGCCATAAACTGCTGCCCTACCCTACTGTCACGCCCTGGGACTCTGTTATTTATTTATTTATTTTATTTATTTTACGTCATTTAGCAGACGCTCTTATCCAGAGCGACTTACAGTTAGTGCATACATTATTATTTTTCATACCCCATGGGAATCGAACCCACAACCCTGGCGTTGCAAACGCCATGCTCTACCAACTGAGCTACCTCCCTGCCGGCCATTCCCTCCCCTACCCTGGACGACGCTGGGCCAATTGTGCGCTGCCCCATTGTTATGTTGAGCCAGGGTGTGTTGTTTCTATGTGTTTTGTGTTCTAGGTTGATTATCTAGCTCATGTGTTTCTGTGTTGGCCGGGGTGGTTCTTAATCAGAGGCAACGAGTATCAGCTGTTGCTTGTTGTCTCTGATTGGGAACCATACTTAGGCAGCCTGTTTTCCACAGTGTTTTGTGGGATCTTGTTCCGTGTTGGTTTTGTATTGTAACCAAGGACGTCACGTTATCGTTTTGTTGTTTTGTTCGTGTGGTGAATCTAAATAAAAGTATGTTCACTTATCACGCTGCGCATTGGTCCACTGTGTTCGACGATCGTGACACCTACACCTGCAAAGGTAGACAGATCACTGTGGAGGGAAAACAGAAAGAAGTAGAAGGACTGAAGTTAACAGGTAACATTTATAACAATGGAACAACAGTGGTCCAGGGTCCTGAGAGCAGCCTGGAGGAGTTCCGAAGGAGGTCTCCAACACTAAAAGCGGCCACAGAGTACTTTAAGCAGGAGGAGCCAGAGGTGAAGGCTACCCGTGAAAATGTGTCAACATCAGAAACAACTACAGGGTACCCCCCCCCCCCCCCCCCACCTCCTCATTGCCACCACTCCCCCAGAGTTAACGCTCTGAAAGACAGCCTGTCTGAACAACAGCATCTCCAGCAACCAGACCAGACTTGACCTACAGACCTACAACCAGCTGACGGCACAGATACAACAGATGTGCTGTACTGTAAGGCAGGTTGAAGAGGCAAACCAGGATCTGCGGATTGAAGCTGAGCTGCATGAAGGAGGAACTCATCAGGAGGGAGCGGCATAGCCATTCCCTGGAGAGACAGCTGGAGGAGATGAAGAGATCCACTCCAGACACCACCCACGACAGCAGCACACAGGCAGAGCAGCAGACGGAGGACAACATTGTCATCCTGTGTGACTCCAATGGAAAATAACCTTGATGGAAGACGGCTGTTCCCAAGGAGAAGAGTGAGGAAGATCTGGTGCCCAACTACGCAGTCTGCCTTTGGATTCCTGGCAGAGCAGAGACTGAGAGCACCGACCCCACATAATCCTCCACACAGGGAGGAATGATCTCAGCACAGGCAGGGTGGATGTAGCCAAGGCTCTGACCCAGGTGGCTATAACAGCCACGCAGGCCTATCTCACAGCTAAGATGATCATCTCCACTCTTCTGCCCAGAAAATATATACATCAGAGAGTCATCCACAGGATAAATGCTGGAATGTCTGGTAACTGTGCTCTGATTCAAAATGTGCACATGGCACATCACAAGGACATTCGTCGTTACCAACTCTATGACCACTTCCACATGAACAGAGAGGGGATGAGAGCCTTTGCAATGGTTCTGAAGGACACCGCTTTGGACAGAAGGTCACACAACCACACTGACATCAGAAGACCAACCAACCAACCACCAACAACCTCAAAGGGACTCTAAGCCAACACCCCTCGACAACACAAGCAAGCCCCAGCCATCTACCCAGAGAGACAGTTATGCTACAGTAACATCCAGGGTAAACCCCAGCCATCTACCCAGAGAGACAGTTATGGTACAGTAGCATCCAGGGTAAACCCCAGCCATCTACCCAGAGAGACAGTTATACTACAGTAACATCCAGGGTAAACCCCAGCCATCTACCCAGAGAGACAGTTATGGTACAGTAACATCCAGGGTAAACGCCAGCCATCTACCCAGAGAGACAGTTATGCTACAGTAACATCCAGGGTAAACCCCAGCCATCTACCCAGAGAGACAGTTATGGTACAGTAGCATCCAGGGTAAACCCCAGCCATCTACCCAGAGGGACCGTTATGCTACAGTAACATCCAGGGTAAACCCCAGCCATCTACCCAGAGAGACCGTTATGCTACAGTAACATCCAGGGTAAACCCCAGCCATCTACCCAGAGAGACAGTTATGCTACAGTAACATCCAGGGTAAACCCCAGCCATCTACCCAGAGGGACCGTTATGGTACAGTAGCATCCAGGGTAAACCCCAGCCCTCTACCCAGAGAGACAGTTATGGTACAGTAGCATCCAGGGTAAACCCCAGCCATCTACCCAGAGAGACAGTTATGCTACAGTAGCATCCAGGGTAAACCCCAGCCATCTACCCAGAGAGACAGTTATGCTACAGTAGCATCCAGGGTAAACCCCAGCCATCTACCCAGAGAGACAGTTATGCTACAGTAGCATCCAGGGTAAACCCCAGCCATCTACCCAGAGAGACAGTTATGCTACAGTAACATCCAGGGTAAACCCCAGCCATCTACCCAGAGAGACAGTTATGGTACAGTAGCATCCAGGGTAAACCCCAGCCATCTACCTAGAGAGACAGTTATGGTACAGTAGCATCCAGGGTAAACCCCAGCCATCTACCCAGAGAGACAGTTATGGTACAGTATTTATTTATTTTGATTTAACTAGGCAAGTCTTATTTACAATGACGGCCTACCCCGGCCAAACCCTCCCCTAACCCGGACGATGCTGGGCCAATTGTGCACCGCCCTATGGGACTCCCAATCACGGCCAGTTGTGATACAGCCCAGGATTGAACCAGGGTCTGTAGCACTGAGATGCAGTGCCTTAGACCGCTGCGCCACTCGGGAGCCCTAGCATCCAGGGTAAACAATTGGCCCAGCGTCGTCCAGGGTAGGGGAGGGAATGGCCGGCAGGGATGTAGTTCAGTTGGTAGAGCATGGCGTTTGCAATGCCAGGGTTGTGGGTTCGATTCCCACGGGGGGCCAGTATGAAAAAAAAATTGAATAATGTATGCACTCACTAACTGTAAGTCGCTCTGGATAAGAGCGTCTGCTAAATGACTAAAATGTAAATGTAAAATGTATACATTTCAATATTGATTCTTTCATTGACGACTTGATATCCAACTAGCAAAGATTTCAACGAATCCCAACAACCCAAAATGCATGGGATTACTTTGTCACTGAATTCACAAAAATATGTGATAAATATGCACCTTGGAGAACAGTGAAAGTTAAGGCCTGTCACCTGCCCTGGGTTAGCTCTGACTCCCAATCTGTTCAGAGAAAGGGACAAAGCTTGGGCTAAGTATCATAGAACCAAAGAGCCAACTGATTGGGAGTCCTATAGAATTTTCTTTTATGCAAAAGCCTCCTTCTATATGGATACTCTTACAAATTATTTTAAAAAATCCACAGCAGTTCTGGAAATACACAAATTACCTTTTAAATAGGTCAAATAACCAACCTAATCAGCAAATAATCCTAAATGACTGTGTCATTCAAGAGCCGGCAGACACAGCTGATGGTCCTTAATCATCATTTCTCATCTATTAGCTCACCTGGGACCTCAAATAATATGACCCACAATTCCTTCAACGCTGTGCATACTGTAAATGGAGATCGAGAGCCCAAATCAGATATTTAACTTTAGAAAGATTAAACCAACTGATACACTGGCCTCTCCTCAATGAGATCAATATCAACTAAGGAGCTGACCTAGATGACTGGAACCCATGTTTTATAAATTGGTCAGCTGATGTTAAAATGTATCCTCTAGCAGATCTATTCAACATGTCTTTAACGACTGTTGAAATACCTTTTGGGTGGAAATGTGCCCTAGTGACCCTTCTTCATAAAGGTGGAAACTCCTTAGACCCAAATAACTATAGACCTATATCAGTAATCTATTCAATAGCAAAAAAATCTTTGAGAAATTAATACAATCCCAAATGTATCAGTACCTAGATTAATTTAATGTAAATTCACCCTTTCAATCTGGATTTAGACCCAACCATTCAATCACTACAGCATTAGAAACGTACTAATTGTATAAATCCTTCATCTGACCAAGGCAAACTAATTGGTACCCATCTTTATTGATTTATCAAAAGCATTTGATTTAGTTAATCATTCTATCTCACTAGGAAAACTTCAAAACATTGGTTTAACTAACAGATCACTAAACTGATTCCATGCGTATCTTAGCAATAGAAAACAATGTGTTTTCATAGAAGGACACATCACAGCTTCTTGGACTCAGTAGAGTTCTCAAGGCTCAGTATTGCCCCCCCCCCCCCTTCTTCTCTCTAGATTCATAAATGAATTGCCTGTAATTTGTCAGAATACACATGTTCACGTATACACTTGACGATACAGTGCTCTATACGTCAGGTTCAAATGTACAAGCAACTCTCCAAGATGATTTTAGCAAATACTTTGGTACGCAGCAAAGAATAAACTCCACATTTGGCAATTTCAAAATTCATGGAGGTGATGCAAAATTCATGGATGTGTTGATTGTGTGACATTTCTAGGTTTGAGGATAGATTCTGAATTATCTTTTGGAAAGCATATTGATTATATTAGAAAAACAATTAACTATAAGCTTGGGTTACTGTACATATCTAAAAAAAAATGTTTTACTGTATCCATTAGAAAAACCTTAGTAACCCAGCTGCTGCTTCCTATCCTAGACTATGGTGACATTCTATCAAAACACAACCAAGACCTTACTTGATGAATTCGATTTAATTCATAACAATCTTTGCATATTTATTATTGGATGCCATTATAAGACATCATTGCACAATGTATGAATAACTAAATGGGCTGTCATTCCCAAACAGAAGACAACTGGTATCGGCACCACTTTCTTTTTAAATGCATCAACTTACATTTCCCAGTATATGTTAAGGAACACCTAACTTTACAAGACTCACACTACTCCTTTCGATAACAACAGCAATTACACATTCCAAGGGTACATCATGAGGTCGGAGTAAGATCTTTCAGGTACAAAAGACCCAACTGACTGGAATCATTTACTCATAGAAATCATGGCATTAAAATCACACCGTGAATTTAAGAAATACCTTTTTCAAATGTTAAGAGCAAACTGTTTGTGTTTAACTAATGTGAAGATATTTGTAAATATGCATGTATATATTATAGGTACTTAGTTGTATTAGTTGTAGCAGTAGTTTTTATTAGTTGTATTAGTAGTTGTAGCAGTAGTTTTATTAGTTGTATTAGTAGTTGTAGCAGTAGTATTATTAGTTGTATTAGTAGTTGTAGCAGTAGTATTATTAGTTGTATTAGTAGTTGTAGCAGTAGTTTTTTTAGTTGTATTAGTAGTTGTAGCAGTAGTATTATTAGTTGTATTAGTAGTTGTAGCAGTAGTTTTATTAGTTGTATTAGTAGTTGTAGCAGTAGTTTTATTAGTTGTATTAGTAGTTGTAGCAGTAGTATTATTAGTTGTATTAGTAGTTGTAGCAGTAGTATTATTAGTTGTATTAGTAGTTGTAGCAGTAGTTTTATTAGTTGTATTAGTAGTTGTAGCAGTAGTATTATTAGTTGTATTAGTAGTTGTAGCAGTAGTTTTATTAGTTGTATTAGTAGTTGTAGCAGTAGTATTATTAGTTGTATTAGTAGTTGTAGCAGTAGTTTTATTAGTTGTATTAGTAGTTGTAGCAGTAGTATTATTAGTTGTATTAGTAGTTGTAGCAGTAGTATTATTAGTTGTATTAGTAGTTGTAGCAGTAGTTTTATTAGTTGTATTAGTAGTTGTAGCAGTAGTATTATTAGTTGTATTAGTAGTCAAAAGCATTTGATTTAGTTAATCATTCTATCTCACTAGGAAAACTTCAAAACTTTGGTTTAACTAACAGATCACTAAACTGATTCCATGCGTATCTTAGCAATAGAAAACAATGTGTTTTCATAGAATGACACATCACAGCTTCTTGGACTCAGTAGAGTTCTCAAGGCTCAGTATGCCCCCCCCCCCCCCCCCCCTTCTTCTCTCTAGATTCATAAATGAATTGCCTGTAATTTGTCAGAATACACATGTTCACGTATACACTTGACGATACAGTGCTCTATACGTCAGGTTCAAATGTACAAGCAACTCTCCAAGATGATTTTAGCAAATACTTTGGTACGCAGCAA